GGGGAATTCTGGGAGTTGAAGTCCACCCATCTTAAAGTTGCCGAGGTTGAGAAACACTGCAATCAAGTATGGTTAAAGAAAGGCCCTCAAAGTCAGCCTCTATAGACCAAGAGGATAGCATTCAGGCACTTTTGTGAAGAAGACGGGACACAGTTGTGTAAGTTACCATTTACATCACGCCTTCTGAAATTCCCCTTTCCGCTCCTTTTCCCCATCTGTTTCCTCTCCAAACAGCTGCCAGTACAGGAAGTTCTCCACTGTTATCGTGGAGAAAGAATGGGGCAGCTTGGGGGTTAGACATAAAACGAGAAGAATGAGTGAAAAAGGATTCTCTCTAAGAGCCCTTGGGCTGTGAAGGGAAGCCCAACAGCCTGGATGGGTCTACTTAGAAGCGTGATCCACTGAAAGTGGTGGGATTTACACCCAGGGAAGTAGGTTAGAATTACAGCTCAAAGAAATGGTGGAAGTGGATTCGATTAGCTTCCATTTCAACGGGTCCTGTTGTTGCAAGGATCGAAAGCTGCAAACTTTGAAGGCTTTTCCGGGTTTTGCATGCCAAATAAAGATCTCCTGCTTATTTAGGACAGTGAAGTCCCAGATCTGCTGCCTGGGACTTGGCTGTCCTAAACTTGGCTGATCTGGAAAAGCTCATCAAGGCTGGATTAAGTTACTACAGGGATGGGAGGCCCCCAGGAAATGCAGAGTTGTAGACTAGATTGGGAAGCTGGAAAAAATATCCCGGAGCGGGACAGTGGCAAACGGCATCTTATGCCAACAAAATTATATGGATCTGTCCATGGGGTCCCCGGGAGTCAAGTTCAATTCAAAGCACATTTTACCCCTTTATTGCTGTCAATATCTGTACCCTACATGTTGCTTTTTCTTTGCAGCCATAATGTCATAGAGTTTCCCTATGGTATTTAATTTTAATTTGTATAACCATGCTTTCTTGAATAAGCCACGATTGTCTCAGATACCACAGCACACTGGGCCGAATTGCATCACAGCCTTTGTAAAAACAGAGGGTTAGTTTCCCCCTTGATCTGTAACATCTGATCAGGAAGAATCTTACTCCCAAATAGCTGAGCGAGCGCTTCTGAATTTGCTGTAGCAGAAAGGTGTGCTTTCTTTCTATATTTATTTTTTCCTTTGAAACACACACACACACATTATATGCCAAGTAACAATACAATGGAGATTTCAACAGCAAGTGATTTAGCTTAAGACCAAAACCTTTATTACAGAAGACATACCTCGATGTCTGTTGCAGTGTGTTCTTTTTTCACCTCTTCCTTTCTCATGTTATATTTAACTGTGATTGAAAAAAACCAAATAACCACAGTGCTCACACTTGTTATCCTAAATTGTAATTAATATTGTTAGAATATATACTTTTTTTCTTCTTTATTTCCAAGGCATCTGAGCAACAGAATATCAAGAACTGAATACTATATAAATATCATTGTACTGAAATGTTGTATCAAGATTGATAATAACACGATAAAAAGGAAAACAAATCAAAAATTAAAACAAACGGGCGTGTTTTACTGATAACAATTGCAGAGGAAGACCTGGGCCATTCTATTAGAAATCATCCAGAAATGTCGTTCCATTTTCCCATTCTCGCTTCTTAATTTCCCTGTTTCAGCAACTGGAGCGACTTAAGCTTGTTGAGGAAAAGGAGCAGACTACGACTCCCAGAAGCCTCTGCTTCCAGAAGCTGGTTGGCATGGAGACGGGGATCAACAGATCTTGCAGGAAAGAGCACAGGCTGTCCAGCCTCAGAGGTCAGTAGGAGGGAAGGGTGATCCATCCATGGCATGAATTTAGAATTTAGAAAAGGGAGAGACACGTTTAAGGCCAAATAAACAAGGAGGAGCGAAGGGCAAAAATCCTGGTGCAATTCACACTCCTTTGGCGATCATTGCTTGGTAGATGGGGAAATCGCATGGCGTGCGTTCCAACTTTTCCAGAGTTTAGAAGCCGGAAAAAGCACCAGCTAGAAATATTGCCAACTCTTCTCGTTGCACCTAACTTTTATTTTTAAGGTGACGCTGCCCACTCCCTGCTGTCTCCAAAGCCAGGAGTTCTGTTTGGTTTGAAAAGGACGTTGCCCTCGCTTTCCATCAGGGGAGATTAAATATTTTTTCCCCCCGGTGGCAACTCTCTCTCATTTAACCTAGACCAGGGTTTCTCAACCTTA